ATCTGAAAAGTACACATTTTCAGAAACACATATGAGTGGAGTGGCCCGAACTAGGGTATAGGACTTAAGACACAAAAGTCTAATAAAAATGATCAAAATAGGCGAAAGTGCTAACTCTTATAACAAAGGTACAATCAGACTGAAGACCCAGATGAATGACAAGTTGTGAGGTCAGTCTGGATTACAAAATGAGAGTTGATTTTCAAATGATAATAAAAGTGACAGCAAGAAAGGAGTGATCTGTACTTCACTATCTGAAGAAATGTGACCAGAATGACTCTGATTAAAGCAAAGAATGTTAAATGTCAGTAGTTTCCTCTGTCACTGCTGTCTCCAATTCTCCTTACCATAATGAAAGTTGGTATAATTCTGAAATCTGTAAATATAGGAAACTCACTTTAAAATTATGCCAAAAAGATATCTGATTAATTCCAGACCTTGGGAGGCAGAGGCAAGTAGATCTCTGTGAGTTAGAGGACAACTTGGTCCACAGAGTGAGTTCCAGGACAGCCAGGGCTACACGAAGAAACCTTGTCTCAAACCATCCCCCTCAAAAACCAAAGCAAAACATGCAAACAAACAAAAATTATAATTAAAACTTACTAGAACATAGTATAAAATGAGTATCATCCCTAAAGAGGATCAACTCATTAATATGAAAATAATATGAGTAAGGATATGAAATGTAGGGTCAGAACAAGAAAGTCTCAGGAAAAGCAGATTCAGCTGGCTAAAAATCAGGATAAACACTCCGTCAAGGTTTGTTTCTATCTTATAGCCCAGCCCCTACACCTTGTTAAGAAAGCCAATTTCATAAAAACTTTTGATTTCTCCAGGTAAGCTTCAGAAATCAAATGTAGCTTAATGATCCTTTTCTCCTCTATACTTTTTAAAGCCTTTTCATAGCCCCATTCCTTTGTACTGCTGACAAGCACTTTTTAAAGAAAAAGATTTTTTGGCCCCACTAGTGGTCAGATACCCCAAGTTCTTTAGCAAAGAAGCAGTGGTTAGCCTGATTATCAGTTTAGAAACTCTATCACACTCACTGGAACATTTTCACTGTCAAGAGTTTACAATAGGCTGAACAAGTAAAGCACATGACAATCCAATTCCTAGAACACAGAGATACCAAAACTAATGCCTACAGACTATTGCTTTTGCCTGGGAGCTTTCTTAAAACCACCCTTACAAAGAATAAAGGGAAAAAAGTGATTAATAGAGAAAAGGGCAGGTCGATTCTATCGTTTTCTCAAATAGTATAAGAGCCACACAGCACATAAAAGCTGCCTGTTTTTCTGATTCTTACAGACCTTGTATTATTGTCAGAAGCTGTACATCAAAGAAATGTTTAGCAGGGTATAGTAGCTCACATCTACAATCCCAGCACTTTGAAGACCGAGAAAGTGGATTACCAAGAGTTTGCGGCCAATCTGGGCTACATGAGTTCTAGGTCAGCCTGCAATAAATACAGAATGAGATCCTGTCTCAGAACCAGAAACAAACCAACAAACAAATGGACTATCTCAGTTGGTTGAGTGCTTACATGAAACCCTGAGTTCAATCTTTAGCACTTCATAAGCCCAATAAAGTAGACTATGCTTGTAATTATAGCACTCTAGAGGTGGAAGATTTGAAATTAAAAGTCATTTTCCCGGGGTTCAAGGCCGGCCTGGGATACAAAAGACCAGATGATGATGGTGAAATGAAGATGATGAAGGCAAAAAGCAAAAGCACCAGAAGAAATGTTTAAAAAGTTGATTTTGTAAACAGTAGAAATCCCTATCACACTGACACAAATACCTAAGTACTACAAAGAAAAGGTGGAAGACATAATACAATAGAACCTTAAATTAATTTAACCAATTAAAATCAGATAAATTAAAATCAGATAAATTCAAGTCCAAGCTGATAAAATTAAAAACAAGATTTGGTATGTAAATAACTAGATTGTGGCCACTAACTAAACTAATATGATGTGTTAATTTAAAATTTACTTATAGAGTAGAGAACGATGAGAGATACCATAATAGAAAGAGCCATTATAGGTACTAGTGAGATTTTCAGAGATCTACAAGAATGACACCAGCTACCTTAAATGCCCTCCCCTGATAATGTGCTTGATGACTACCTTATGCCATCCTAGAACCCTCATCCAGTGGCTGATGGAAGCAGAGGCAGACACCCACAGCTAAAAACCACACTGAACTCCTGGAACCCAGTTGCAAAGAGGAGTGATGAGCAAAGGAATCAAGACCAGACCGGCAAAACCCACAGAGGCAGCTGACCTAAACAAGGGGGAACGCATGGACCCCAGACTGATGACTGAGAGGCCAGCATGGGACTGATCCAGACACCCCCCAACCAATCTGGGTGTCAGAGAGGAGGCCTTGGCAATCTATGGAACCTTGGAGAGTAGATCAGTATTTATTCCTGGCATACAAATAGACTCTGAGAGCCCATTCTACATGGAGGGATGCTCTCTCAGCATGGGCACATGGGGGAGGACGTAGGCCCTGCCCAGGATGAAATGACAGACTCTGAAAAATCCCTCGTGGAAGGCCTTACCCTCCCTGGGGAGCAGAGGGGGAAGGAGAGAGGTGTGGGGCTGGGTGGGGGATTGGGGAGGAGGAGAGGGAGAGGGAACTGGGAGTAATGTGTAAAAAGTTAAATAAAAAATTATAATTAAAAATGTACTCATAAATAAATTTATGTTATATATACAAAAATGCATGACTTTCCAAATATCTGCACTGTTCCTGTATAGGCATAATGAGAAACAAAGCAATGAATAGTAGACTCATTAAGACATTCAGGCACCTAGAACTAATTTATAATATTTACAAATTACATATTTTAAATACACCTGTCTAAAACAGTCTCAAGAATTCTTCAAGTTCAGAAAGTACATTCCTATAATCTCAGCATTCAGGAGGCTGGAACCAAGAGGATTAGAATTTTTTAACAATGATTTAATTTTATTTGCATATAATAATCATTAAAGGTTAACTGATTCAAAAAGATATTTTTGATACTCCAACATCCTTTGCCATTCATTACAAATAAATCCCTGCCTAACACAGATCAGAAGTTAGATTGCAAATGGAGTATATTAAGTAAGTTTAATACCTTTTCAAATGTAGCCTCTGAATAATTCCATACAGCAAGTTACAGTTAATGTTACATATTAATAGATCTGTGTTAAAGTTTGGACAACCAGATTTCCTAGGACATAACTAGCATTTTTCCCCTAAGAAGGTATTTTAAGCCTTTTAGGAGGATTTCTGTAGTGTAGACTTAACTTCCATATAAAGTAATACCTAAAACATATCATTAAAAAATTAAACTAGAAATTAGACTTGCTCAACAAAAACACTCATTTATTACATTATATAAATACTCTTAAGAAAAACATTCTGGATAAACACCAAAACCTAGATGGACCTAGGAGGCACTGCACATTGGCATTCACTTTTTTTTTAATTGTTAAGAGCAGCATATTGAGTTAGAAAAAGTTAAAAATATTTGATTTGATCATACATGCTAACTTTAGAGTTTTTAATTTCTGAGCTCACTAGACTTGAGTTCCAATTATAACCTATTTCATCAACATCTATCCAACATTTCATTATATGACAATTTGTGATAAATGGCACAGAATGAAACATCAATAAATATTTTGTCAATGAAAAACAATTTCACCAACAAATGAAAAACATGCAAATTTGAATAAATGAACATGAGAATACCATTTCATTACTAAGCAATGGGAACTTTTGTGAAACCAAGTTACTTTTAAATAGATCAAGAATTAAATGAAAATAGCTTCCTCCAAAAACCAACTGGTTTTCATACTGAAGAGGAGGGCGTTCTGCAAAGTTATTGTTATCCCTGGAATACAAACAGACATCGTGTGTCCATAACACAAAGAGGGATGCTCTCTCAGCCTGGACTCTTAGGGGAGTGAGTGAAATGGCAGACTCTAGATATCCCCTATGTGGAAGGAAATGGCAATAGAGTGGGAGGCCGGGGGGGGGATAGTGAGGGGGGTACAGAAGGAGGGGAGGGAGAGGGAACTGGGATTGACATGTAAAACAAGCTATTTAAAATTAAAATAATAAAAAAGTCAAAAAAATAAAATAAAATCTGGTCTACAGTAAATGAAAATCACAATACTAAGTAAGGTAATTTCTGTCTCATGTATTTACTAGAATCCATTCTCTTTCTGACAGTCCTCCTAATAGTACAGGAAGGTTTTTAAAACATTTTACCAAATTCCTAACAGAACCTACTCATTGGGTTATTCTTCTAATCCTTGAACTCACAGTAGAGTTTCAAAAACAGGAAACGGCTATTAGCCTCGTTATGTTTCAAAAAGAATAAAGTTTGTCTGACCAAAAATTGCTATGAAAAATTAATACACTTACAAAGCATCAAGATCTGTCCCAATGGATGTATTCCACCTAGCATTGTTAACATTAACCAAAATGAGTCAGAGTTCACCTACAAATAAATTTTAAAATGATCTGAATTTTTCAGTCAATAGTTATTTCATCATTGTGTCCTAGAATTAGAAAACTGTTAGCATATATAAAAAACACATTTACCAACTTCAATCAGGTCAATATCAGGATTTATCAAGGTCTTCCATCATCACCAAAATTTTTAAATATCTTTATTCTTAAGACTATAAAAAGAATGCACTAATCAACTGAAACATGTGACCAAGTCCACAAAGCAGTGGGTAGGTGAAGGGAAGCACTAACAGAGCTAAATATCACATCCTACATATTTAACCCATTATCTAAGCCTGCTTCTCTAAACAGTATCAATACTCTTGATTACAAACTGTAAATAAAATAGAAATTTTACCAGCATAATTCATCATTTAGTTCATCTGCTTCTCACACACTAAATAGCTTTTGATTAACAGAATGCAACAGTAGAGCGTATGGATCCCACTTTTTTATCTCTGACTATAGTAGTAGCCAGTCTCAATAAGAAAAAATATGGAATGCTTCATTAACTGGAATGTCATCCTTGTGCAGGGACCTCACTAACCTTTTCTTTGTATCTATCCAATTTTAGTATATGTGCTGTTGAAGTGAACATGAGAGGGTTCAGAATTTGAGGCCAGCCTGAACTACATGGTCAGTTCCAGGCTCATCAGGACTCTATAGTAAGACCCCATCTCCAACAAAATAAAAACAAATTCTTCAAATAATCAAAATTATTACCACAACTTTCCATAAAATAATCTAGTAACTTAGCTCTTAAATTTTATTTTCCATGAATTTTTTTGTTGTTGTTTTTTTGGTTTTTTTCGAGACAGGGTTTCTCTATATTGTTTTGGAGGCTGTCCTGGAACTTGCTCTGTGGCCTCGAACTCACAGAGATCTGCCTGCCTCTGCCTCCTGAGTGCTGGGATTAAAGGCGTGTGCCACAAACGCCCAGCTATTTTCCATGAATTTTAAAGCAAATGTATCACCAAATTTATAACTAGATATAGGGTGATTTAGTGTTAATGTATCTTAAAATAGTATCTTGAATCAAACTGAACATTACTGGCATCCTATTTCTCTTAAGCAGTTCCACTTTGCAAAATCCCTAAAAACTCCAGTTATGGACAACTGCCAAGCCAGGTTAATAATAGCAATGAACCATATTCATCTAAAACCACAAGACTGTCAGGTGACATAGCAAGAATGAATTTAACTCAAAAGTCTCTTCATGCTGCAATACAAAAAAGTGTAATCCTACCAACAGGACCAAGAGCCACTGGGAGACCTTAAAGAGTCCCATGCTGATGGCAAAACCTATTTTCGTAAAAGGCTTCATTTCTACAGTTTTGCAAGAAACATACCACTTTTTTTGTTTCACTTAAGAGTGCCATTTCACAGAACTTGGTACTTTTTTCCTACTACAAAGTATAGGACAAAGTGAAAATCAATCTAAATATTCTTGTAAACTAAGCCCTACCTGGCAGCTTGTGCAGACCAAGAATGTCTACCAGGCTTAGTGTTTTTAAGGCACTTATGTTAATTTTTATGCAAGAGTGGAGAAGGTGGTTCTTCATGAAATCAGGAAAATGAAAAGCAGGAGAGAGTGTAAGTAAAAAAGGAGAGAAGATGGGGGAAAGGGCAGAGAGGAAAAGAGAAGAACAAGAAGGGGGAGGAGAGAGGGAAAGAGAGAAATGGTAAAGGAGAGAGAGAAAAAGGGAGAGGAGGGAAGGGGGAAAAAGGAAGGGAGGGAGATGGTGAAAAGAGGGAGGAAGAAAATACTCACAGACATGTCCCTAGTGCCTGTGTCCTCTAGCTAGGTCCCACCTCAACTCTCAAATTGTGCCACCACCCAGGGATCATGCCTCACAACACTGGACTTCCTAGGGATCATTTTATGCACAGTGCTTTGACTCAGTAAAAGCTACGCTGATCAGGCAACCATAGCTATAACACAGCTCTTCAATAGTTCACATCTAAGGAATTCAGATTTACTTCTTTATAAACAAGAAAATGGAAAAGGTTCTTTCTCTTTCTGTGTGCCCATACACAAAATCTTAGAAGCTATCTACATTGCTAACCAGCAAATGGAAAATAAGCCTCATTAATCACAGTACCATCATGATCAGTACGTAAAACCAACTCACTAATCTCAACACTTATACTGCATTTAAGAGGACAAGTCTAGCAGAAAATACTGACTTTGTAGGTATGTAGCTCAGTGGTATAATCCTAATTAGAACTTTAGCTCAGTCTGGCTGTTCTTCCAGAGGGAAGGGAGAGAGCAAGCAAGCAAGCAAGCAAATAAACCTGCCATTGGAAGTATAAACTTCAATAAAATCACCATGCTAAATTACTTGGCTAGTTCATGAAAGAGACTCTTTAGCTTGTTTACAAACATGTTTTTCAGCAGGGTTATGTTTTAACATTTATCAGAATGTTCTTCCACAACACCGTGTGTGTATGTACACTAATATGACTAATGTAGTAGCACAAATGCCTAATACAACAGCCTATTTACCTACAATCTAAGTGAGAGATAATATGCTGAGACCAAAAATGATTACCCATCCCTAACATGGCAGAAACATAATGCAGCTACCTAGAAAATTATTTATGCTCATTAATATTAAAAATTACCATACTCAGTAGATCCACAAGTAAGTCTGTTAATTTAACCAGAATACAATAATGATAGTTTGTCACAAATGTAATATTTCAGTATCTTACATATTCAACACAAAGTGTTTTCCTCATAATCTTCTATACTCTATTTTAAGAATTTATAAATGGGTTGGAAAGATGACTCAAGGGTTAAAAACACTAGCTGCTCTTCCAAATGTCCTGGGGTTTGATTACTAGCATCTACACAGTGGCTCACACCCATCTGTTACCCAAGTCTTAATGGATGTGGACATCCTCTTCTGTCCTCCAATGGCACTAGGCATGTGGTACCCAGACATACATACATGCAGGCAAAACACCAATACATACAGAATAAATTGATACTAATAATGTTTTAATTAAAAATTATAAATGTTTTTATCTGAGAAGCAATATGGGTTTACCAGGATGCTAAAGAGGTATTTTATAGGGAAACTAATTAAGAATGTCATTCTCTGATACAATTCCACAGAGAAAATGTGTCTAGCTAAGGGACAAGAGACACAATAGGAACATGAGATAGTGAAGGAAGACTAATGATTTGGGATGCCATTAAAAAAAAGTCTAATTTTTTAATTGACTGATTATGTGGTATGGAAATTAATCACAAAGTTCTTTAAACATGATAGGCAAATGCCCGACCACTAATCCATACATACTCTCAGCCCAACACCAATTATTAATGGTATCTTGAAAATTTAAACTAAATTAGTAAAAAGAAAAATAAATTCAAAAGACTTCCTATCTGTATGTCTTCCCCTTTGTCCCCTCTCACCCTCTTCCATCTCCGACACCCCTCCCCCATCCTTTCTCAGTACCACTGGCATTTAAATCTATGTTAAAACCTCTTCTGAATAAACACCAAATTTGCTTTAAACAAAAGATTTCCTGCTGTCTTCACAGGTAATTAAAATAGATTTGTACATTTTTCCCCCTAAGGATACTCTAAGCCATCTCTGATACAAAGGCCTTTAATTCCAGCATTAGGAATCAGAGGCAGGAAGAGTTCCAGGCTAGCCTGGTCAACCAAGGCTATATAGAGAGATTCTGATTGAACAAACAAAAAGGTAGTCTTTTTCAGGTGCGTTTTCTTCCATATTGGTTTTCTTTCCTCCATTCTCTCATTTTCCTTCTCTATAACTATTTAATATTAACTTCAAGTGCATGTTAATAAACTGTAAACTGTAATAACTGTAGCCATTTCTTAAATGTAACAATGGAATGTATTCTGCTCTAAGAAGTCATTTTCAAGTATTGTACCTGCCTGCCTGCCTCCATCCCTCCCTCCCTCTTAATTTAGTTATCCATTCTACATCCCAACTGCAGCCTACCCCAACTCCACTCCTCCAAGTACCCTCCCATTCCCACTGCTCCTTCCCACTCTCCCACCCTCACCTCCACCCAGAAAAGGGCAGGCTTCTCATGGACATCAACAAAACTTAGCACATCAAGCTAAAGCAAGCCCAAGCACTGAGCCCTGCACCAAGGCTATAGAAGGCAACCCAGCATGAGGAATAGAGTCCTAAACACCAGCAAGAGTCAGAGACAGTCCCCATTCCTACTACCAGGAGTTCCACAAGACCAAACCACACAGCTGTCACACATATGCAGAGGGCCTAGGTCAGTCACAACACAGGTTCCCTGTTTGGTGACCCAGCTTCCCTGAGCTCCCAAGAGCCCAGACCAGTTGACCCTGAGGTTCTTCCTGTGATGTCCCTGAAGCCCCTGGCTCCCACAATCACTCCTCCCCACTTTGCCTTCTTAAAAACAGTTAAAGAGTCTTTCATTTTTCAAATAGCATAAAGGCAATATGCCAGATGTGGTGTCTCCTTGGTGCTAGCTTCACCAAGCAAGTCTTAGGGGTAAGACTTTGAAGAGCAGATTAACTTGAAAACTATATATCTTAGAGCTTTTCATTTAATACATTTTATACTTTTCCATGTGTTTTAAGAGTTTTTTTTTTAACTCACAAGGCCCTTTGTTACTACAAAAGAATACTCTGCACACATCACTAAGGTCACTTCCTCCCTGTATGAAATACAGCCACCTGGGGATTGGAGAGGCAGCTCAGTTAAGAGCACTTACTGCTCTTCCAGATGACCCAGGTTCAATTCCCAGCACCCACATAATAACTAACAACTGTCTGCAACTCCAGTCCCAGGGTATCTGACACCTTCTGGCCTCCCCGGGGCACTAGGCACACATGCTATGCACAGATATACATGTAGTAAAAACACCTTACACGTAAAATAAATAAATTAAAAAAAAAAGAAACGCAGCCCCCCAACACTTAGAAGAAAGCAAAGTTAAACAGCTTCTAAATGCCAAGACAAGAATGGGTACACCACAAAAACTGTCAGTATGATTTTTAAGCACTCTCAAATTTCTTGGAGCCCCAGAATATTTAAGGAGTAGTCACTGAATTTGAACACTTTTCTTGAAGGAGTCTCAGAAGGTTATAAAGTCAAACATGTAATAGGAATAAATGTTTCTTCATGATCTCTCTCAGTAACCTATGAGGATCACAAACAATCTTCAACTAAGTTGTAATTTATCATAACACATATATGTTATCAATGTCAGAACAAAAAAGGACATTTACATGTAAGATATATGATTTCTGCATTAAAGAATTACAATGCATTCAACCTATATAAACTGTCAATTTCTCAGAACCTCATGCCCAAGTTGAAAAGCAAAAGAAAACAAACAACAAAAACAAAACAAAAAGCAAGAAAGATTCTAATGCATAGTGTGTGTTTCTAGTTCCAAACTACTATAAATAAGATAGGAGACAGCAGACAAGTCGACATAAGACCAACTGGTACCAGAAGACAATGAGGCTGTTTTCCTGCAAACAGTTGTTTGATTGTTCACGCTATGTTTTCAGAAAGCTAAACAATCTTTCCTCTGAAATTGTAAAGTTAACACATAAAGACGTGGCCAG